GAGAAAATAGATCAGTTGCCTCTGGCATGTGCCCTGACCATGCCCTCACCAGGACTATACGAACCCACAACCCAGGAGTGCGCTCTGACCAGGATTCAAACTGTGACCTTTTGCTTTATGGGGAGATGCCCAACCAACTAAGGCACACCAGTCAGGGCCTGAAAGACTTTTTTTTTTTAAAGAAAGTTATTATTAGACTATTGATAGCAAAAAAAGAAGACTGGTCTTGGGGCCTGGAGCCTAAAACCCCAGCAGCTTGGCCAGGTAGAAGAGACAACATGCCTGTAGATCCGGAGTTTTGCAAGAGTTTTTATACATCAGGTAGGGTTGAAGAGAGATGTAAGTCATTCTGAAAGGATTTACATTAGCTACAGACAAAGGGGATGGGAGAAGGTGAAGGGATGCCAGCTCTGGGATAGGCACTGAGCCAGCAAGGAAGAAGTGTCCATCCTGTGGATTAGCTGTGGGCAGCAGATTGGAAACTTCATGCGTGAATGAGAAGCAGAGACTCCTGGGGTCTGACGCTGCCTGGTGATTCTCTCTTTTAGATAATCTCTAAAATCGCCACCTGGAAACTAACCCAAAATTCCAACAGATATACAGAAATGTGAGCAGTCTTTTGTTAGAGCTGATCCACAGCTATTAACAGGCTAACTGTTGTGTCTCTTTCTCTCACTCTCCAGCCATATAATTTTAATTTAGAACATCTCAAATTTTTTTCTTACCAAAGCACATTAATAGACAAACCAATGGAACAGACCAAAAACCCAGAAATGAAAAGAATTTATAGAAGAATTTAGTAGATGATAAATGTAGCATTTCAAATTAGTAGTAAAAACAATGGCTTATCCAATTACTGGTGCTGGGATTGTTGCTGGTGGAAGTAGGGCTCTTTAAAGGGATTGAGAGAAAAACATTCATCAACCCATGCATGGAAGATTGTGGTGTAGCAAGGTTTATTTTGGTGAAAGGCTGACCCTCTGTCCTATCTCCATCTGTCCCACTGTGGAAAAGGTACAAATGTGTCTTCAGCAAGGTTAAAACAAAGGCCAGTGTCGACCATCACATTATTATTATTATATTATCCTCACCCAAGGACATTTTTTTTATTGCTTTTAGAGAGAGAGAGGTGAGAAAAGAGAGAGAGAGGGAGTTCACCTTTTCTTCCCCTGGAATTATATTATCTCGGGTTTAGGACAGACCAAGAGCTTTTTCAAAATAACCAAACAACTTCCCAAGCTTTGGCAGGCTTCTGAGGTGTCCACCCCCTAATTAGATTGACACTCCTCTATGGTCAAGCACCTCCCCTTGCACCATTTTGATTTCTGTTGTGCATGTGCATACCTTCCCCTGCTCCCCACAACAGTCTGGTACCATAGGGGGGAAGGGGGGATGTTAATCCTTGGTGGGGAAAAGCTGTGATTTCCTGGAGTGTATGAAGCTGTAGCTTTCTGGTGAAGCAAACATGTTTATGCTCCATTGTTGATTATGCTCAATGATGTTCAATTCCCTTTTTTTTCTTTCTTATTAATAATTAGCTAACTATCTACAATAATGGGATAACTGGGTTTCTGTTTGTGGGGAAAAAATAGGTTAGATTCCTATTCCACACTTTGCTTTAAAATAAATTCCAGCCCTGGCTGGTGTGCCTCAGTGGATTGAGCGCCAGCCTGTAATCTGAAAGGTCACTGGTTCAATTCCCAGTCAGGGTACATGCCTGGGCTGCAGGCAAGGTCCCCAGTTGGGGGTGCATGACAGGCAACCAATTGATGGTTCTCTCACACATCGATATTTCTCTCCCTCTCTTCCTCCCTTCCCTTCTCTCTAAAATAAATAAAATCTTTAAAAAATAAATTCTATATAGTTAAAGATGTAAATATGGAAAATGACATAATAAAAGAACTAGAAAAAATGACAGAATTTTAAAAAATCCCATAGAGGGGAGGGCCTCTCTAAGTATGACATAAAATGCAGAAATTGTAAAAGAATTGATTATGTTTTACCAACACAGAAATTTGAAATTATTTTATGATAAAAATCATCCAAAATAGAACCAAAGACAAATAACAAAATGGAAAAACATTTGCAACTCATATTACAGGAAAAGTTAATTTCCTTAATATATATAGAGTTCTCTACAAATCAAAAAGAGAAGGATGAGACTAATACAATAGACAAAGGGGCAAATGGCATGAAAGGCAGTCTACACAGAATACTATAATAGACTCCTTAAGGCTCTTAAACATATCAAAAATGCTCAACTTCATTCATAAGAGAAGTAAAGTTACAATACCTATAATTATAATACCTGCCTTTAACCTATCATTGAAAAGATGAAAAAGCACTCTCAAATACAACAGAGGGCAATTTGGCAGTATTTTTCAAAATTACAAAAGCAAAGCTCTTTAACCTAGTAATTTTACTTCTGGAAATTTATCCTACAAATATACTTGCATATGTGCCAATTAACTGTGTACTGCAACATTATTATAATAGTAAAAAACAGGAAACAATTTAAGTATTCATCAACAGGTTAATAAATTGAGGTATATCCATACAATGAAGTACTATGCATTTGTACAATGGAACTGGAACACAGGTTTATGTCTGCATTTGAGTAGTGTCTCTCCGGAAGGACAGGCAAGAAACCACCAACAGGGGTATGGCTGGGGAACATACTCTGTTGTGCTTTTTGCACCATGTATATTTATTACCTTTTTAAAAATAAATAAAATACATTTTATGTGTAAAATATCTTAAGAAGAAATGGAAAGCATAGGCATATTATGCAGTAGATTGCAAACATTGTGAATGTTTAAAATATTGCACAAGAGTTCAAGGGCACTTCTAGCAAAGATGACCACATTAGATTTTGACCATAGACTTAGAAGAATGAGGTTAACAAATGAATTCTCAAAGTTGCCTGGGACCTTCAGAGGAAGAGTGCAAAAAGCACTGCTTTCCAAGATCATGTGGCAGGACATGAGGGAAATGCCCCCTTGGAACTTGGAGGTTACCCTCTGAGTCCTGGAAAACAGAAAACATTCTAAGTATTTAAAACAGGACATTTAATTCAAAGAATTGCTTTACATACGTGTTGGCAGAGATAACAAGTGAAACAAACAGTAAAGTAGCCCAGAGAGAAGCAATAGCAAGAAGTTACTGCCACCCTTACACTGGAGGAACAGAGGAAAGATACATCTTGTTACCAGATCCCGGGGAGCTGGGATCATCTGCTAAAAGTTAGAGCCAGGTAGGTTGGAGGAGACAGCCTAAGGTTGGGAGGTGGGGGTGGGGATGAGTACTCTGGCTTGGGGGTGGGTACACTCTGGTTTTTCCCTCAGTCCCTCCAATCTCCAGAAGTGCCTCCCATCCATGGAGCCAACAACTCAGCCTGGAAGCCAACCAGCACAGCAGTCCAGGTCATGCAGCCTTCATGGGGTCAGGCCCCCACTAACATGCTGAAAAGATAAGGGGTAAAATGAGAGATGGTCTTGAGGGCAAAACAGTACCAGGACCAACACAGAGAAATAAGGAAAGAAACAAAAACATAATTAATGGATCCATCCCTTTGAGAAGAATCAACTTAGGGTGCATATACAAATGTGGGTTTCTAGAACTGCAACATTAAGGCCCAGGCATTTGCCTCCAATTGTCCTTTATAGCTGGTTTTTCCAAACTAGATCTAATCCTGGACAATTCAATAATCTCATTGGTATAGCTCTTAAAAATATCTTAATCTAGAGGGGCACCTTTTCTTCGTTTGGTAAAGGAAAGAGGCATTGTCCTATAAAATGTCCCACCTTCTAAATCTGCTTACTGCCTTTTGCTTTCCTTTAGCTTGATCTCCTAGCTTATTCTAGAACCTTGGTTAGACCCAAGTTAAACATTTTGGGTAAGAACACATCGTAGGTAGTGATTTCTACTTAATGTTGGAATCCCAGCAGGAGACACATATCTGACTGTTCTTAGTATTACTAATGCTGAATTACCACTGTACTGAAGTGGTGAAAGACTAATAACTTCACTGTGCAATTAACTTTTGTTTTAGGGCCAGGAAGCTTTAACCTTGTTAAAGCTCAGCTTCCTCATCTAAAATGTGAATAATAGGGTTGTTAAATGGATTAAATAAATTAATGCATTTAATGTACCTGGGGCATAGAACACATTCAAATAAAGTAGCAATTATTATTTTGGTTCCATTTCCACCACCAGAGTGTGAAGCAGAAGAATCTAAAGCTCCCCCTCCCCAGTTCCATTTTGCAGTCTGATAGACCAGGCTGGAAATTTGCCTTTGTTGTTATAACTGTGGACAAGCTACTTCTATCAATTTAAACCCCACAAGTAAGAATTAGTACCCATATTTTTCAGAGGAGGAAACTACACAAGCAGCAGAGCTAGGAAGCAGCGAGATGGGACTTAACACCTAGGATTCTACTCTCCTACAATTAATGTGACTCAAAAAAGAAACGCTATGTAAAACGACTTGCACCTGGCTTTACTGCTTTAAGCGACTGATTTTTTCTCAGTTGTCACCCTCTCGGCAAGTTTTCTCTATTATATAAAGTCGAGCTCCCTCCTTCCTTGTTCATTTTTCACGTGCATAGAACTTGGCTCCATCTAACCTACTACATACTGACTTTATTATCGTCTTCCCTAACTCGAACGTCAACTCCATGAGGACAAGGATGTTTGTTTTAACCACTGCTGTCTCCTCAGTACTTAGAGCAGAGCCTGACAGATACCGGGTAACCGTTAGCTATTTGTGGAGAGAATGAATAACACCCTTCAGGGAGCATCAGGAGTCCAGATGAAACAAATGCGCGTTGACTGAACCTCATAAGGACCCTTCGTACTCCCGCCTTTCTGTAGGTGGCAGGAAGAAAGGAAAAGCCGCACCCCCGCCCCGACTCGGCCTCTTGAGTGAAGGCACAGCGCCGCTCCGCACACTGATTGGATGACTGGGGAGGGTTTCGGGAGTCGGGTTGGAGACATCGATGCCGCAGCGTCGGCGCTTAGTGTTTGCGTCATTTCCGGTGGTGCGGAGCAGACTGGCCAACGGCCTGCAGAACAACATGCCCAAGTGAGTGGGGACTTGAATCTGGGGGTTTTCGTGGTCGCATTCACTCATTACGGCCCGGTGGGGGTTCGCAGAGCGGATTCTGGCTCCTGTAGCCTCTACGGAAGCCGGAGGGTCTGAGGAACGGAGGAAGAGCGGGGCTTCTAGATACCCCTTTTAGTGTGTGGAGATAGATTGCATGTAGAGTAACAAAAAAGCCTTATTTCTGTCAGGGCGCTTTGTTTGACGTGTACGAATCATTACTGGGCCTTTTATTATTATTATTTTTTATCTTAAATGAACAGCACTTCTGTGGATGGGTATCTATTAACGGGTTGTCATCCCTTTTTCTCTACGTTCCATCTCCTTCCAGGTTTTATTGTGACTACTGCGATACATATCTCACTCATGACTCTGTAAGTAGTGTTTCTTTTCTGCTTCAAAAAACCTTGTATGTAATAAGTTAGATTTTTTTAGGTTTAAGTTTATGGTTTTCGTCTGCTGAGGTTTAAGGGCCCCTGCTTGGAGAAAGTAATTGGAGGTGTTTGTTTTTCTACCTTTCCTGTAACTGTCTTCAGAATTTGAAGTTATTAGTCTTCCAGCAGTCAGTGTTTTCAGTGGAGACCCAAAATAATAAAGCCTTAGCAAGTTTGAAGATGGAAAAAACGGTATATGACAACTAAAAAGTCCAGGAAATTGTCTTAAAGCTCAAATATTTGTGCCACAGCACTCAAATGTTTGATAGAAATTAAAAGAAATGCCTAAATTTGAAACCAAGTACTTTAATTTGCTTAAAAACTGCTTAACAAGTAATAACAGCATTCAAGATTGAATATGTACTGTGTCACCTAGTGTTCCAAATGCTTTTGTTTAATGTTCATGGTAATTGTTTGAGTTTAATATTATCTCCATTTTACAGAGGAGGAAACTGAGGCAAAGTGTGGGTAAATAACTGACTAATGTTACAAAATTAGACATTGCATGGAGCTCGGCAGTGTTCTACAGAGCTTCTATGCTGGCACCTCTCCAACTTTTGTCTCACAGTCTCTTTACATTCTTAAAAACTACTGGGTTGTTAGAAAAAATTAGGTTATGTAGTATATAGCTATTAACATTTGCCATATTTGAAATTAAAACAAAATTTAAAAAATATGTATTATATCATTTTAAGGTAACAATAATGTACTTTTTATTTGTAACACAAATAACATTTTAAAAGTGAAAAGTAGCTATTTTCCCCAACAAAATATTTAGTATGAGGCATGGTATTGTTTTTAACGTTTTTGCAAATGTCTCTAATGTCAGGCTTAATGGAAGACAGCTGACTGAATTCTCATCTTCTGTATTGTACCTATTGCACTATGTTTTGGGTAAAGTATATGAAGAATCCAGCCTCATATAGATGTAGAGTTGAAAAAAAGAGGAGTTCTGTAATATCCTTTTTAGATCATTGTATCTATTCTTTAGTACTTTGTATTTCTGCCCCAAAAGTCAACACATGGTTAGTTGCTGTACGGAATCTGAAAACATCAAACTTTCCATACCTGGTTGCATTAAAATTCACTGGTCTCTCTTCCACTTTGAGTGAAACTTTCACCACACATAATTTTGTAACACGCTTTGGTCATTTGGAAAATATTTGTTCTCTCAGTTATACAGGTCTTCCAAGAGTTGACACATTTGTTTATCTAACATAAAAATTCACATTGATTATTGTCACAGTCTAATCAGAAATCACTTGTAAATATTCAGAAGCTGACAAGCTTGTGGTGGCAGATAGTTTTCTGAAAGCCTAATTTTTGTTTGAAAGGTCAGAATTTCAAATGCTACTGATTGCTTTCCCTGAAGTATCAGGTTTATTTCATTTATTTTTGAGAAATCTGAATAGTTTGTATCTTAGTTCTTTCAAATAAAAATGATGTTCTATCAAAGATGCAGTTGGTAGAACTTACAACTTGTAATTGAATGCCTGCTTTTCTTTGACATACATATTTTGGTACGTAGCAGAACTGCTTTGTACATAGTTCCCATTTTGTCACCCAGAGTACTAAAAAGACATGAACTCTAGGGTTGAGATTTAATAAAATTAACAATTTTTCTGCCCTGCCTGGTGTGGCTCAGTGGATTGAGCACCAGCTAGTGAACCAAGGTGTCACTGGTTGGGTTCCCAGTCAGGGCACATGCCAGGTCCCCAGTGGGGGCGGTGTAAGAGGCAGCCACACATTTGATGTTTCTCTCCCTTCCTTTCTCTTTCTACCTCCCTTCCCCTCTCGAAAAAATAAATAAATAAAATCTTGAAAAATAAAACAATTTTACTGCTTCATCAAGGATAGTCTTAATGAAACTGACTCCACTCTCCCTTCACCCGAGAGTGCAGGTTACTGAAAAATGCAGTGAGCACTAATGCTTTGGGTTGCCATTGCCTTGATTCATTCCAGAGTGCCAGGAGTTTGGCAGCCTCAGTGCAAGTGTCAATATAGTGAAAAAAGGAAGTAATGTCTTAATATTACTATGAACCTATTTTGACCTTGCAGATCCCCTGCCCCTGAAGTTGGGTCCGAGACACCCTTAGGTGTCTGTGAGCCACACCTTGAGAAGTGCAACTCTGTATTTTTCTGCCTTTGCAGAAACCTGATTAAATCAGAACTTTTTGGTAACCATGTTTTGAATAGTGGCTGCAAGAACTTAGCCAATGATTCCTCTGTTGACACTTCATTTGAAATTCTTTCTGACACATGGTCATGTATAGTTTAGCATTAATAGATTTCTGGAACATGTAAGTAGGATGGTTCTGAATGTTACTATAGATGTCCTAGAGGAGAACCTTTGAATAAGTTTGTGTCAGTAGTAGCTTACCTATATATCCCAAATCTTTTTGTTTTGTCTTATTTTTGTGCCTAACTTCCTCTAAGTCATTTGGAAAGTCTTGATTTTCTGAAATTGTTAGTGAGGGGGCTATACCTCTCTACTTTTTTTAGCAGTATATTTTCGTATGCCCATTCATATTGCTAATGCCTGAATTCAGAAAATTGAAAGGTATCTTTTTTTTTTTTTTAATCCTCATCTGGAGGCATTTTTTTCATTGCTTTTAGAGAGAAAGAGGGAAGGGAGGAGAGGGAGGGAGAGAGAGAAACATTGATGTGAGAAAGAAGCACTGATTGGTTGCTACAACCTAGATATGTGCCCTGACTGGGAATCAAACCTGCAACCCTTTGGTTACTGGACAACACTCCAACCAACTGAGCCATACCAGCCAAGGGTGAAAGGGACCTTCTTATAATAAATGTCTCTTTATGAGAAACATCAGGAGCCCTTGTCATACTGTTGTTCTAACATGATAGCTTGTGAACTAGTATGAAGTTTCCATGGTGATTGAAGCAACTCCTGGTGGGGGACTTTGAAATGTAGAAAACGTTCAGTGCTTAACTTTGGAACTCGTACTGGTTCTCAGGCATGATTTTGTTTTGAGGCTTGAGGCATCATTGTTCTAAGCATAGTGTAAGCAGTGACTTGGGAGACAGGGAACAGTATTTTGAAATGTGGACCATTCATGTCATATCAGTCATATCTGCTGCCACTGAAGCAATCATTCAGAGAGGGGATGTACTGATAGGAGGTGGTTAGGCATCCATGGGGAGCATCTCAGTGAGATCTGGGTTCCAGGCCTGGGTTTGCCACTTACCAGCTATGTGTTTTGAGACAAGTCTTTAAGCATAAATAGAAGATTTGTTATCTATACCTTGTGATATTTTAAAATCAGTTTTATTGAATTACAGTTTATGTTTAATACAAACTTTGTAAGTATACAGTTTGATGAGTTGTCAGATGATTACAACTTGATGTATATACCAAGATATAGAACATTTCCATCACCTCGGAAAGTTTCCTTGTGTTCCTTTGCAGTAAGTCTCCTATGCCTCTGGCCCTGACTGGTGTGGTTTTTACTGAAGATCAGTGTTACTAGTTTTAAAACGACATATGAATGGAATCTTACAGTATATACACTGGGCTTGTGTCTGATTTCTTTTGCTTAGTGTGTTTTTGAGACTCATCCATATTGTCTGTATTAGTGATTTGTTCTTTACAGTTACTGTTGTGGTTAACGTGCACGCGTGATTTTTATGAAGATTGAAAAACTGCTTGTAGAGTACAAAGCTGTCTGGCATGTAGTAAATGTTAAATAAACATAAACTTAAAAACAGAAGGCTAAATATATAGAGTTTACTGTATGTCATTTTTACCCCAAAAAGCTGTTACAAGAAAACAAAAGGATTAGTGGACTGGAGACAAAGGTCTGGAGACAAAAGTCTGGTCTATAGAAACTTTACCAGGGGTGTCCCACCTACAGCCCAGGGTGGCTGAGAATGCAGCCCAACACAGTGTCATAACTTTACTTAAAACAGTATGAGATTTTTTGGTAATTACGTATGTGTCCGTGTATTTAATGTGTGGCCCAAGACAACTCTTCTTCCATTGTGGCCCAGAGATGCCAAAAGGTTGGACATCTCTGTCTAGATCCATATAGTCATTTAATGAATATACTGTCGTAGACAGTAAATGAATATATTGTCGTAGACAGTATTATTTAAATGTATATAAGCTTTTTATCTTTTTGCCACAGAATAACCAAAGAAAGGGCATTAAAATGGACCAGTGGTTTGCAAACTTTTTTTCTTTTTCTTTTTTTAAAAGATTTTATTTTTTAGAGAGAGAGGGAGAGAAACATCAATTTGAGAGAGACATTGATCAGTTGCCTCACACCCCTGCCCAACTGGAGACCTGGCCTGCAACACAGGCATGCACCCTGGCCAGCAATCGAACTGACAGCCTTTCATTTCATAGGCAGACACTCCATCCACTGAGCCACACCAGCCAGGGCAAGCAAACTTTTTCTTAAAGTGCCAGATTATAATTATTTTAGGTTTGAGGACCATATGGTCTTCATTGCTATTATTTGACTCTTGTAAAGAGAAGAAATAGACAATTCATAAACAAATGAATGTGGCTATGTTCTAGTACCTTTTTTTTTGCAAAATCAGATGGCTTGCCCATAGGCCACAGTTTGCTTACCCCTGGTTTAGATAATAAACACAGTAGATAACATGGATAATGTTTATAAATGATGGATTAGCTAAAGCTGCTAAAGGTAGCCAGGCCACCTGTACGTAAATGTAAGGCTTTATAAAATTTCTAGTTTTGGAAATTTGTTTCTGTGACTGATGTGACCTTTTTGTTTTACAGCCATCTGTGAGAAAGACACACTGCAGTGGCAGGAAACACAAAGAGAATGTGAAAGACTACTATCAGAAATGGATGGAGGAGCAGGCTCAGAGCTTGATTGACAAAACAAGTGCGTTTTAGTCTCCTGTTCTGATGTGGCAGAATGGTCCCATTCTTTCTTGTCCCTGTCTCTATTGTTTTTCACAGAAGCAACTCATCTGAATGATAAATAGGAGCATTCTGATGTGTTGAATGAAAGAAGTGAAAGGTCATTGGTTTCCCAGGGATATAGGAACACATTAATACTAATTATTGATGTTAGAGCAATCAGGTATTAGACTGGAAAGTGTAACAAAGAAGGATGAGTTGCCTAATGTTTCTTTATTGACATGGACTGGATTTTGTAGCAAATTTATATAAAACCTCTTTTGTAGTGATCCATAGTTTTTAGGACTGTTTTCCTGATACATTAGGAAAAGGTAAGGAGTAGGTTTGTAGTTTTCTTCAAAGAGTTTGAGAGACTCTGAGTGTCTTATTTTTTGTTGTCCTTACAAAGATAACTAGTCAGAAAGGAAGTAACTGATGTGACAAAATAATCTGGGTATGTTTTGGAACCCTGTCACACCTGCCATAATCTTTTTGTTTAATTAGGGACATCTTTGTTGTTTTGGCTAGTTGGGTTCAGGACACTGACAGAGGATGTTGCATTTTTACCTTAGATCATCCTGGTCCATTTGAAACGTCTTTCTTAATTATTCATTGTACTCAGAGCTGACAGGCAAATGTGGGCTTTGGTTGTAGGTGTGATTTTTTTTTCAGAAGCAAAAACTACCTTGGAATATTCAAACATAGGAGAAAAGTTTAATGAGTAAAACTCCCATGGCTGCTGCTTCCCTACTATCCCCCTTCCTCAGTTCCCATTCCCCCAGCACCCAGCTACAACACTCGTTTCATTTATACCAAGGTTCTCGGACCCAATACTGTTAACATTGGGGCTGCGAAATTCTTTGTTGTGAGGGCTGTTCGACAGCAGCCCTGGCACCTACCACCTAGTAACAGTTCCTGTTTGTGACCACCAAAAACTTCATCAGGCATTGCCCAGTGTTCCCAAGGGGCACAGTTGCCCTGGTTGAGAGCCACCAAATACCTTCATCTACTCCCTTTAGCCCTCCTATATTAAGGATCAAATCTCAGTCATTGTCCCATTTTATTTGAAAAAATAAATTATAATGTAATCTTTTTTCTCTATTTAAAAAGACATTAGACATTTCTTGGCACTGAAGAATAGCCTCGTTTAGTTTTTTTGTAGGCAGCAAAAAAATTTAGGATGAGTGAATATTTTTGATGGAATGCTTGGAGGAGAGGAGGCAAGACCTTGGGGACACGCCTCTCTCTCTCTCTCTTTTTTTTTTTTTTTTAATAACTCTTTAGGTGAGGACATGCTTACTGATTTAAGAGAGAGGGGAAGAGAAACATCAACATGAGAAACATTGGTTGGTGCCTCTTGCATGTGCTCTGACCAAGGAGCAAACCCTGCAACCTAGACAAGTCCCCCAACTGGGAATCGAACCTGTTTGGTTTTAAGGGATGTTGCTTCAACCAACTGAGCTATACCAGCCAGGGCAGGGACACACCTCTTCATGTTCATGATTATGTTGACATTGAGTGTGCTACTGAGTCTATGCTTCAGTCAGTCCCCCTTCAGTCTTTATAAGCTGTTCTTTTATTCAGGGTATGGGAGGTGCCTTATTGGGATACGATCCCTTACAGAGCACAGGCACCATTCAGAGGCATATGAATAGCTGTTCATGGATACCCACTCTAGGTCAATTTTTTGGATTTGGTTCTAATGATTTATCAGTGATTACTTGGCTTATTTGACCACCTTTGCACTGGTGGGCGTGAAGTAGAATAGGGGAAGGGTGCCTGGGCTGCAGACTACACTGAATTGGGAAGGACTTACATTCAGGAATAAACTTTATGAATGTGTATTTTAATATTTGTGACTCCTTTTTAAAGCCGAATATAAATGATCTTCAGTCTCTTTTGTTTTCATTTGTGCCTCATGTTGTCTGAAAGAAAAATTAAAAGTTGAGCCCTAGCTGGATGGCTTGGTTGGTTGGAATGTTGTCCCACACACCAAAAGGTTGCAGGTTTGATTCCCAGTCCTGGCACATAACCTAGGATGTGGGTCTGATTCCCGGTCAGCGTGAGTAGATGAGCCTTGGTCGGGGCACATACAGGGGGCAACTAATCGATGTTTCTCTTTCTCTCCTCACCCCCCTTCCTCTCTAAAATTGATAAAAAAACATATCCTCTGGTGAGGATTTTTTTTTTTTAAATTAGAAGTTGATTGTATTGGAAATTTTTTAAGATCATAACCTACTTTGGCTCAGGCCCTTGCCTTGAAATCTTTTACATCCCTTAGCTCAGTGCACTCATTTCAAAACTGGTAAACCAAATAGCCTATTGCTTTGACTCCAGGCAGCATGTACAGGAAGGAACGAAATTTGCAGTACCTGGTTTTGGGACAGGCATCTCACATTTTCAAACAAAACTGTGGGTGGCCGCTTCTCTTTGGTAAGACAGTGATAGCTAAAAGGTTTTCACTCCAATCCTATAGTGAATTCAGCCATAGAAATACTGACTAAATAAAAACAGCTTAAAAAACCCAAACCAGTAAGCCAATTAATTGCAATTTTAGCTGGTTAGTACCTAAAGTTAATTTTAAAACTGTAGAGGCCATGCTATAGTAATCTTAGGTGGTTGCTTTTTAGAGTGAAATAATTGGGACCATTAAAGATGAAAAGAAAGTAGTTATTTTAGTAAATGGGCTGTTGAATTCTCTCATTCACTGTGTGGTTTTTTTTCTCCCTTTCTTTAAAGCTGCAGCATTTCAGCAAGGCAAGATACCTCCCACTCCGTTCTCTGCTCCTCCTCCTGCAGGGGCAATGATTCCTCCTCCCCCCAGTCTTCGTAAGTTTATAAGGTTTTTATCTTAAGGGTCTAACTGGGCAGGTTGTACTTGGATCTTGTTAGAGAAAACAATTTCAGTGGTATAATTTCTGAAATATTTGTAGTTCCCTTCTGGATGCATTATTACTAGGTTATTGTGTCTGTGGCGTCCCATGTAGGTCCGAGGCAGATTCAATGGAAAGCTCATGTGATTAGATGAGCTGATATATAAGAGGTATTGCTGAGTACATTAAATTATTTATTGCTATGAACATAACACAGGAGGGTTCATGTAGCTGATAAACTTCTCAGTCTATTTTCTAACCCACCTAACACCAATATATGAGGCTTGTCCAAAAATTATCCAGTCATGGAATTTGAAAAATAGAGGCACTTACTGAACAAGATACAAGATACAAGAAACATTGTACATAGGACAGTGATGCCTTAGTCCCCTTCATAGTAGACACCTTGGGGCTTCACACAATTCTCCCAATTGCCATCAGCTGGCCCCTCATATTTTACCGAATTTTGTCAGTGGTCTGAAGTCTCTTCTGTCAAAGGTGATTTTAGTTTTGGGAAAAGCCGGAAGTTGCAGAGTGCCAAATCTGGGCTGTAGGGGGCTGAGTTACCTGGGTTATTTGATGTTTCGCAAAAAAACTCTGCGCAAGACGTGATGCATGAGGTGGCGCATTGTCGTGATGAAGCTGCCCATCACCAGTTGCCCACAGCTGCAGCCTTCTCAATCATCCGAATATTTTCCACGAAGGAATATTCAAGCTTAACGCAAAAGTCAATGCAGCTTCATTGCTGTACTCAACTTAGTCATTTTTTAATGCAACAGCCATACAATACACATGCTCACTTAATGGCATCTACCGCCCCCCTCTGACTAGTACAGTGAAATGATCATTGTTCACGCATGTGCATTTCAGTCCACTCTCATTGGCTGCCGGTTTACATCAATGTCACCCAAACAGTTCCTATTATATTAACAATGGCTGGAGTTTTTCCAAGCAGGCTTCGTATATACCTTGTGAAAGACAAGAATTGTATAGTTGAAAGTGGGGTGGATCAGAGGCCTCTCTTCTCTGGGAAGGTTTATTGTTTCTGCATGACAAAAGGAGGAGACTGAGTAACTAAGTTCTTTGGCTCTTCTGGAAGGTTTGAAATTGAAATTGAACCCAGAGACCTAAAATCCTGTAGGTGATCACAGATAGAAACACATAGAAGAAAGGAGGCTGTTTGTAAGAGTTGCTTGTTAGGTGGACCACTTTGGGCTCCCACCATCCTGGGACCTGGCCAGGCCTCGGTTCACAGCACCTCTTACTTAGGTTACCTCTCCTCTATCCCTACAGGTTGGCATTCAACTCCATTGTTTTAATAGTAGAATGAATAGTCTATGGTGTGAATGTATCTTAATTATCCTCACTGTTTTCTTACTGATGGACATGTACGTTGTTTCAAGTTGTTGCTATTGTAAATGATACATCAGGAATATCTCTGCATATGTATCTTTGTATTTTCAAAGAATATTTTAAATCTGGGTTTTGATTTTATTAAATGATCTGAAATTAGGTAGTTGTGGCTTAAATTCATCAGCTTTTTATCAGGAGCTCTACAGAAGGTATAATACCCCCTTTTATCCTCACCCAGGGACATTTTTTTTCGTTGCTTTTAGAGAGAGGAGGGCAGAGAGAGAGACATTGATGTGAGAGATAAGCATCAGTTGGTTGTGCTAGGCCTGGGGATCATGGTGCCTGGACCCGGACCTAGGATGGGGGATCGAACCCATAGCCTTTCAGTTATGGGACAGCGCTCCAACCAACTGAGCCACACTGGCCAGGACAATTTAATACCCCCTTTTAAAAAATGTAAATTTTGGTATTTTTTTTAACCTGGGGAATCTGACTGCATTTTATACTTCTATCTAGATAGGCTTGTTCTTGCTTTTCAATCATAGAGTAACTAAAGTTTTGAGGCATGCTGATTCTTGTGGATCTACTGTTATAAAAAAGACCATAAGAAATTTATTGTAATAGGTGGACCAGATCATGAGGCCCTATTAGTTTCAATAAGAAGATAAAATATTAATATATAAGCATGTCTTAACCTCAGGCCCCATTCTTTTATTTCAGCGGGTCCTCCTCGCCCTGGTATGATGCCAGCACCTCATATGGGGGGCCCTCCCATGATGCCAATGATGGGTCCTCCTCCTCCTGGAATGATGCCAGTGGGACCTGGTAAGTTTGAATTTTCTAGAATGCTCCATTGTGTTTTAGCTCTTCATTTAAATGGACGTCTTAATTAGCCGTCTAAGTGTATTATCGCAACAAATTAAATTTGAATTTGAATCAGTAATGATAAAGTAAAAGAAATATTTGGTTTATCAGTGTAATTGGATGCTATCCAAAGATATTGTGGTACTAAAAGCAGGATAAGGCTGCCTCTTTTTCTCTTCTTCTCCCTCCCTCCTGTTTTCTGATGTCCTCCTGGCTTTTGGCCATTTAGAAGGAAGAGAAAGGCAGATGAGCTTGTTCCACGGGGGTGTAAAGGAAGGGGTAAACACGTGCTTGTGCTGCTGCTTTCCTTGGTTTTGATATAGACCGGAGTTAACCTCCTTTTGCTGATTTTTAATTTTAGAGGTTAGCTAGGCCAAATTAGTATATGAAAAAGGCTGTAGGCCTGGTAGTTGGTCTTTTGTTTAGGAGTGGGGGAAAAACTTATACCTCAGACATTTAATTTTAATGTAAATGTAAGTGTACATTAATTTGGAAAGTTTTCTGATACATGGCCAGGGCCTTGGCTTTGAGAACAAGTCTGCTGATTGGAACACTATATGTTTTGTGCAGAATTCAGAAGCCATACCTATGATGCATCCTTTACCACCTTTAGTTTCATTTTCTGTGAAGTGGTTAGAGACCTTGTGAGGCGAGCTAGATCCGATCTTTTATGATTGTCTTACCTTCTGAATATGTGAGCACTTTTGGGGATGATCTGCCTGAGTCTTGCTAAATATCAGCTTAGTTTTCATAGGTATAGTTCTTTTTTTACATTCATTTTATTGGTTTGCAGAATAGTTAAAGTATGTAATTAAAGTAAATACAGCTGACGCAAGAAGCCGGCAATTCAACTGGTAAGGCAAGATACAAAGGTATTAAAGTAGCTTCCCAGCCGGAAGCCTTCAGGATGCTTACTGCAGGTATCATTTAGAGGGATGGGAGAGTATAGATAAAAAGAGTTCCTGCCTTACTGGCTTTGAACCCAAAACACAATCAAAGTGACTTAGATGGCTTCTTTTGCATTCTTAAATTAGTCACAAGTTCAAATTTGTAGATGGGTTAGTTGTGGTGACTGGGAATGCATGACTCATCTAAAGAAGGCTTCTAGAACTAGCTGCAGCCTACGGTTGACATTTGAGAATGCAGGTTGATGTTGCCAGTTCTCTTGAGTATTTTGTTGTTGTTATTTTTAGCCAAGATAAGATAGTATGTTATGGGGTTCCCATTAAAATAATTGAGTAGTTGGGGAGGGCGTGGATAAGAATGGGTGGGAATAAGATAAATTGTCATGGGTGGACAATTGTTGATGCTGGCTGATGGGTACATGGATGTTCATTATACTCTTTTTTTTTTTTTCCCCCTATTCTTGTGTGTGTTTGGACATTTCTGTAGTAGATAAAGGATCTAGACTTATCAGTAATTATACTTACTCATTGGCAATGTTGGCAATTAATTAAAATTAAATTCACTATGGAGACTAAAGAAAATTAGTTTTCAGGTGCCTCGTTTTCAATCTTTGGTCTAGATCAGCTTCCTCTAACAAATGCTGAATACTGGTTATGTTATGTGGGTTTTTTAGTAAGGTATTTAGTAGCTTAGTAGTATTCTGTGTTCCTGTTGAAATTAATCTTAAAAAAAATTATGTACCCGTTGGATACTGTGTCTTTGCATACTTGTGTTTTACTTTTTGTGATAAGGCTGTATTCAGCTTTGAATATAGTTTTCTCTTGAACCATTTATACCAAGCCTTTAATCAAAATGATTTAGTTAAAAGTAAGTAATTAAGGTAAAATCTGATATTTAACAAGGTGATATATAGCATGAAAATTATGAGGCATAATAATAAAATGAATACCTATGAACCTACCACCCAGCTAAGGATGTAGAACATTATCAGTTCTGTGAAGCTGCCTGTGTTTCTCCCTGACCTTCACCTCTCTGCTTGCCATCCCTTTCCTGGTTGATTTATTTGGCTTCTATATTGATTTGGCACTTTAAAAAAGTCATTGATAGTTTCTAAGATGCATTAGAAAAATCAGCTTTGTGTGTGTATACTAACTGTTATAAATCACATTATTGCCTATTATTTTTCTTGACTTGAGCTAAGTATGGTTACTAACAGGTTCTCAGCATGGGCCTCCTGCTCACCTTTCCTACAACTCCGAACAAACGCTTAGTGGTAAGATTGTCCTCTGTGCCTGTGTACATCCATGAAATAGCTCCTGGTAATATGGTGGATAGAACTGATTAAAAGAGCTGACTGAATAACATGTGACTTAGTTGTGAATTTCCCTGAGTGAGGAAAAAGGTCATTTTAGGGAACTAGTGTCCCTGGTGGTTTCTGGAAAGCCATCTATTATTAATAGTTTCTCCCTTACTATCATGATTCCCATATGGTTCTTGTGTTTACCTTTTTGTTTTTTGTTTGAGAATGTCTAAATATTTTAAAGATGTGGTGAATTTGTTGTATTCTTCTGTCAAGTATGTCTTTTTTCCAGCATTTTGCAGGGGGGGGCTACTTTTTTATCTTTAATTGAAATCCCATCAAGCTTTCTCATAAGAAGTATTTCCTGACTTTTTTTTTCCTTTTCTTTGTTTTGTCCTGCAGCTCCTGGAATGAGGCCACCTATGGGAGGGCACATGCCCATGATGCCTGGGCCCCCGATGATGAGACCTCCTGCCCGTCCCATGATGGTGCCCACTCGGCCAGGAATGACTCGACCAGACAGATAAGGAGAGAGGGGAGCCTCTTTCTATCAGTTTTATATTACTTGTTCTAGTTCACCAGGAGAGTGTCGTGCTGTGACTCTGGGTGTTTTCTAACAGCGTGACAAGGAAGACTCACTCCCTCTTCCTATCAAAGAAAGAATAGTTTTGAAGGGGAGTAATGGGACAAAAAAAATTTTCATTTGTATTGTGAAATGTGAAAATAAAATTGTAAACTCTGTTAGCTAAAAATGTGTTCCCTTTTTTTCCCTTCTTATTTGTTAGTTGTAAAGGAGATGAACTATTTCAGTTGTGTTTCTCTAGCTTGTTCTCTCTTCAGCATGCCCTCTGCATGACATTCTTTTTCCTTAGGTATAGAGTGGGTCCCTTTGGGCACCCTGCCTTTATTTAGTAAACTTCTCTTGTACAAGACTTTGGTAAATATAACACTTGTAAAGCTTTTGTTAATTGAAATAATAAACAGCACAATTGGTTAATTTTTCACATGAACAATACTTTATGTAGTAAGTGGAAAATTTTAAGCCTTTTATGCTGATACAGGGAAAAAGACTTCACCATGTGTGTGTGTCAGCTAAGAATAGCAAGGATTGCCTTAACTCAGCTTCTCTTTTCTCCCAGCTCTGCTTTTTCTTGGGTCTCAAATAGTCAGAAACCTTTCTAATAGCAGTGGTGAAATTATTCAGATTTCCATGGTATAGAAGGTTCTTTCAGAATGCCATTTGTTATATCCCTGGGCTATAAAGGTATGATATTTTCAGGGAAGTATCTAGAAAGTTAGCCATTGGCACTGTTCATAATTCAACTTATTGTAAAACCTGAACTCCTATCTCACATTAAAGTGGGAGTGAAAATTACTCTAACTTTTTGGGAGGGCAATTTGGCAATATCAGAATTACCTATATCCTTTGACTTAGCACTTCCATGTCTAGAAATTTATCCTACAAATACACTTGCACATGTACAAGATGACATGTATGCAATTAAGCACTGTGGCAACAGATTGGAAATAACATAGATATCCAACGAAAGGGAACTGATTTATCAAGTACGATACAGCCACAAAGTGGCATATACCATGCTGGTTAAAACAGAATAAGCTCTGTGTATTGATGGGGAAAGATTTTCAAGATGACACGTTGTTCTGCACTTTGGTTTGTTCTCATAACAAGGTATTGTGTGCTGCTGTCCTTTTTAAAGGAAATACTTATATGTGACTGTGCATAGAGATCTCTGGGAGGACAGATAAGCAGCTGGTAATATTAGTTGCCCATGAAGAGTAAATGGGTGGCTGCGGGACAGGGATGCAGGAGAAAAGCTGGTCACCTTTTATCTTTTGGACTTGGAGTCATTATCTATTTCAAAACCAAAAACAAACCACTTTTCTCTTCTGAGGTTATGGTTACAGTGATATCATGGCAGATGGTGTCATAAACCAGCAGTTTGCAATCTGGCTGATGATCAGAATCACAGGGGGCCTTATTCAAAATAAAGATTCCAGATTTTTTTTTTTAGATTTTTTCTAAGCTCCTTATATTGAACCAAGGGAAAGCCACATATACTTTCGTACACCAAAGTCACTATTTCAGAAGAAGGGAAAAGAAGGAGAACCTAGGTTATCCTTGGTTTTAGATTGATGTATTATTTATAATAAATTGAATTTTATGGACATGTATATATATACACATATATGTTAATATATATATATGAAAAACCTAAAAATGTGGAAATATTAACATTAGACTATCTTCAATGACTATGTGGTGTTGCTATATTTTTTTTGTAATTTCTGGTATGTTGAATTACTCAAAGGAAAAAGTACATGTGAGTAATACTTAGTTTTATGGATCTATCCCAGTTCCTGTAGTGATTCCCTTATTGATGGCTACTGAGATAGTTACTATTTCACAATTCAAATCCTCAGAGCTTCAGGTAAGAGCTCACTTTTATGAACTCACATTATTAGGAAATACAGCATCCCTTCATTTTCTATGTGACACACTAATACCAAGTTTGCCTTCCCATTTTGCCGGAAGGGAAAGAAGTGCCAATGTGTCCCTTGTAGGCCTGTCCTCACCTGGGTTCTGTTGTAGTTTGTAGATTTTCCAGACACTGGAGAACATGGTGATTACAGCGGAAAGGTTGTACTTGTCAGTGAAATTCTTTTGTCCAGAAGGATTCAGTGGATGTACTCAGTGGACGTGTCCACTGCCTTGTGCCCATGGTGTTCCCAGAGGCAGTATGGTGCTTGGAAACAATCCTTTACTCAGTAAAGTGAGTATAGAAAATACTGCTCACCACACACACAGTAGGAACCTTTATTTGTGTTTCCAAGTGGTTTCTCCTCCCCCCTGCATTAGTCTTGTCCTGAACGGGATAACTTCATCGTTGATTGTCCTTTAAGTTGCACTGATCCTGCCTCCAAAGAAAGGAGGCCCTGACCAGGGTCTGTGAGAGTGATGTTCTCTTCCCCTTCCAGAAAGTGGGCTTTGTATCATGTGGGGCAGAGCCCAAAGCTCTTCACTGAGGCACAGCTAGGATCCCGGAATGTCCTTTTCCTGTGGATCAGGACTAAAAAAAGGTGGTATGTATCTTTTCCTGAAAATTTAGGGATTGCAGGGACTGACCTAAAGACATGAGATTTCTACATATTGTTGGTGCAGTTGGCTGAGGGGATGAAATAGTTCTCCAGTTGACCTTGTGTATTGTATGATATTGTATGACTGACTCACTGCATCCCTTCTTGAGGATCCCATTCTGCTGTCAGAACCTAGCAGCACTCATCCCACCATTGCATACTGTAAGAAATGTCCATCTGACCCAGATCATGTGAATGATGTCTTTTGTGCTCAGGATGAGGCTGAGAATAGTCCTTCAACTGTAGTATTCCTGTGGCACTCTGTGATCTGGTATTTTTCTTGGTTTGGGGGCCCAAAATTAGTGTGAGTATTGGAAAGGTCTCCTCCTGGATCGGTGGTATTGGCAGGTTGTTTGTAAGTATCAGAGTAGAAGGAGTGTTCTCTCCTGTGTGGGCTGTACCATTATGACACTTGGTCCTTGGCTTACACAAGGGCAAAGGATATGTAGGATGAGAATAGAGCAGGTGGAGAGGTTTGGTTCTTGCTGAAAGAATTGGAGGAAGAAAAATGGTGAGAGCAGCCTAGGAGAGTGGTCAAGTTGATTTGGTGCTGCTGAACTGTAAGATCTGGTATTCCAGCAGTCCCCAAACTTTGGCACGAGGGACCAGTTTCGTGGAAGACAATTTTTCCACAGAGCAGGGCCAGGGGGATGGTTTCGAGATGCTGGAAGAGCATTACATTCAAGCTTATCTCCTGCTGTGAGGCCCAGTTCCTAACTGCCCTGACCTGGAGGTTGGGGACCTCTTTGGTGTTCCATTTGGGCCATTTACCAAGGAGTTCACAGGCTAACTTCTGCTCTGCCCTGGGTCTAGACATTTTTGGTTTTGAATTCTTGATTCCCGAATGCTTGTTTATTTAGCCAGTATTTTCCTGGTTGCAATATCAGGGAATCAGTTCCAGTCAAAGGCTTGAAGTAGGATGTTTGATTGAGATCTTGTGATGGATGTCAGGTCATGTCTGTTACTTTTTGGTGAGTATTCTTGAGTCCGAGGCTGATGCCAGTGATGTTCCTGGGTTTGACCTTTTCCTAAGGACTATTCAGATCCCAATAGTCTCTGCCCTATGGTTTTTAAACCAGATCTAAAAGTTATACTCCAGAATGCCAGCTTCCTTGGCCAGCTGTTTCCTAGTAGCTGTATCAGGTTTTGTTCAAACCATTTTTGAAGGATATCCTTTTGACTCTGGTGACTCTGGTTGTAAACAGTCCTGCCTTTCAATGCTTCTCTCTGTAGAATGCCACCTGCAGTGCGTTCGAGGGAAGAGAGAACCTGGAATCTGCAGAAATGACAGTGAGCGAAGGTTCCAGATTTTGATTTGCTTTATCTTGTGTGGTGCTTAGGAAATTGAATTTTGGGAAAGCTCCTTAGGAAATTTTGATTATTAGTGGGTTTGGCAAATTCTGTTTTAGGATTTAATAATTTAAGAGTACAAGGCTGCATGTACGTCTATAATTCTTTATAGGTTTATGGCTAGAAATTGAAATGGCAATAAGTGGGTTGCATTTTTTCCCCTAGAAACTTGTGAATATTTTGAAGAAGAGCTAATTTGGAAAAATAAATGACCTTACGTAGGTAAACAAGAGGTTAGAAATAGAGATCCTGACCAAGAGATAATCTTTACACTCAGCCTCTGTAGAAGCTGAGTCAGCTTCCTATGCTGAGCCTTTGCCGGAACCACTTGTTACTTTTAGTTTCTCATTGTCACACCTTTTAAAGGAGACTTAAATCTCAGAAACTCATAGTTTATGTGCCTGAACGTATAACTCAGGTTTGTTGTTAAAATTTTCTGCAGATTTAAGAGTTTGTTTAGGGGAACCCTGACTGGCGTGGTTCAGTTGGTTGGGTGTCGTCGTCCTGCGAAGTGAAACGTTCCTGGTTCAATTCCTCCTCAGGGCACACACCTGGGTTGCGGGTTCGGTCTCCAGTCAGGGTGTGTATGAGAGTCAACCGATTGATGTTTCTCACATTCATGTTTCTGTCCCTCTCTCCCCCCTCCACTTCCCTTCTCTGTAAAAAATAGATAAATACAATCTTTTTTTTTTTTTTAAGAGTTTGTTAGGGGAAATCTTGGCAACTAAGCTTACATGTGAGTCAGCAAGTTTCTGGTTTGGTTGGTTCTGTCAGACCGAGGATGAAGAGAGAGTCTTTTGTATATACACAGAAGCTCACAGATACCTATTTAAGTTTTTTAAAATAGCCTCAGGTTACTTAGGAACAATCTTAAAGGGAAGGGTTTTGCAGAGTGTGTAAGAATTTGTATAGGTGCAATCAGTACTACTAGATATCAAGAACTGGAAGAGTTAGTGTAGATGTGGGGTGGCATACTTGCTTTCTTTTCTGTGGGCAGATCCAAAGCCATAGGGAGTACAGTTAAAGGTCAAGCTGTCATCATTCCCACTGCCGTGGCTTTAAGGGTTTGTCAGAATGCCAGGCCCCTTGATTCCAAGCTGCCCAAGAAATGGGATCCTTGCATAGAGCCACTGGCTAATTTGGTCCTCTTGTATGGAAAAAGTCCAGTGGCGATTGTCCCAATTACTTAGCTTCAGTCAGATGGTATCTTTTAGGCTCCTAGATACATTTGAACAGAAAAAAGCCT